CTCTCTCTCTCTCTCTCTCTCTCTCTCTCTCTCTCTCTCCAGCGTGTATACACACATCACGGTTGTTGTTGTTGTTGTTGTTGTTTTTTTTTTTTTTTTTTTTTTAATGTTGTTGCGCGCGCGCACCTGGGGTTGGCGCACTTCACCTACGCACCGCAAGTATGCTACCAGCACAACATAGAGGGGGAGAAAGACAGTGGACAGCTCTCTCAAACAAGGCACGCTCTGAGAAACCGGTCACAGAAATCTAGCAGCTAAGCGCATTGGTTCCTCCATACGTAGAGCAGGAGGCCTATTGTCTATGTAAGAAATCTAGCAGCTATGGTAGCAAGCATATCGGTTCCTCCATATGTAGGGCAGGAGGCCTATTGTCTATGTAAGAAATCTAGCGGCTATGGTAGCAAGCATATCGGTTCCTCCATATGTAGGGCAGGAGGTCTATTGTCTATGTAATGGAGGAATTTCAAAAGATATTATGAGAATCACACATGCTATGTCAACACCAATTCAGTCACAGGACCATGTTACTGCTTTGGTTAGGTAGACCAGGCATGTGAAACCTTGGGAGCTTATCAGCTTTGGGCTGAAAATAGTTATCAGCTTTGGGGAAGTTTGGGCTGAAAATAGTCTCTGAACAAGTTCCTTGCCGCGCGCTCTGATGGATGAACTATATTGGAAGGATTGAGAGAATGGACCATGTGATTTTGCGAGGGAGCTATGGTAATACGATCATGACCCAGGACATTGGCGGAAGGATTGAGAGAATGGACCATGTGAGTTTGCGAAGGAGCTATGGTAATACGATCATGGCGCAAGACCTTGGCCATCTGGGCAACTAAATCATTAGTGAAGAGAAAGACATATCTGGCTCTGTCTATGATGGTTGAAGGAAATCTGAAAGCTCGTGAGGATTATAGGCTAGGTTGTAATCGGAGAGCATGATTGGGAAGTGGCATGGTTGTAGGCAATCGCAGTATGGAAGGTGTGAATCCCAGTTACAGTAGCCATCAGCAAACTTCTTGACCGTGTTTCCAAGCGTTTTATTTGTGACGTCAATATTAACTATTATTAAGCCTAAAACTGGAGAGCTCGTGAAGGGAAACTGAAACTGTCCGAATAAGGTTAACCTGTTCCACAAAGAACAGAACAATGTGATGGTCCGATATGGTCTCAGTTGTGTAGGATAAGGTTACTCCAGAAACGGGAGACTGGGATGGCATTCCTCCCAGCCACCCTGCTGTCAGACCTCCCCTTCAACCCAAAGGAGTGGCAGTGGACTCCATCACAGAAAGGAAAGAACAACAAAATCACCCAGTTAGGTAAAGAATGTGTACATAATACTTTATGCCCGAGGGTAAACCTCAAGGATATCGTTAGAAAACGATGGATGACCCATCTGAATGTCGACAGGGACACACTTTGGTCGTTCCGTTGGTTCACAACAACCAAGACTAAACCTGTGAAACTCTCCTCCCTGCAGTGGCACATCAAGCACCTTTCTCTGCCCACCAACGACTGGCTAATTGACCGGACAAATCTGGAGCAAAAGGGGGATGGCAACCACGTGCTGCAAGTCCTGCCTGAGCAACTTCCTCTCCTGCAAGATCCTGGAAACAATCGAGCACATATTCCTGCAGTGCCCGGGCACAACCCTCACATGGCGCTGGTGGGACAGGATCTGGAGGCAACTGGGAACTGAGTCCAGCTGGCCATGGGATTGGCTAGTGCTGCTGTGTGGGGTGCGGCGATCCCTGCAAGATAACACCTTTGATGAGGCTAGGGAGGAGAGCGGTCCTATGGGCCCTCTGGCGAAGGTGGTGTACACACATAACGGAAGATGTGTGGGTAGAGGGTGAGGAATTCACGGACATAATCAAACGACGACTCCAAAAGGATCTAACAGAACAATGGCTTAAAGTAAAGGCACAGCTGAACCTGTACAACACAAAGACAGACATCCAACAGATAAAAATTTATCAGAAGAATGGCACGGAGTGATCAAGGGGGCTGTATAGCTGACATCAAGTGGGAAGGAGGCAATCGACCAGACGGACAGGAGATTAGGCGAGACTAGCATATGTCGTTCAAGGAATGGACCGAGGGCGACGCAACGGTCCCAATGCCCCCCCCTGTGGAGTTCCCGGACCTCTTCCCTCCCCACCAGCTTTTGCTGGTGGACCTGCAATGGTATGGAGGCAGCTAGCACAATACACTGTCAGAGACAGCTCTGCCCATCTGGCGGCTATTAGAAGCCGAAGAGTCTGTGAGAGGAGTGTTTCCCTTCCTAGCCGAAACTGGGTAACGGCCCGGGGTGAATATGCAACACTGATGTAAGGGACTGGGCCCGGTTT